TGGAAAAGGCCAACCCCACCTAAGGTTGCTGAAGGAAAAGAATCTGAGAAGATGCTAGAGGAACGGATGGTCTCCATCATGTCTCTATTCCCAGCTTGTTATTCTGGAGAATTTGGGTTTTTCCCCTGGGAGAGAACCAAGACTCTCACTCCCTCACTCTCCCTGTTGATTTGAGTTATTTCACTCTCAGTTGAAGAGCTCCTTCATTTTGTATTGTGTGGTACCTATCTTCTACGTACAGCTTCTCTGATTTTTGTTTTGCCATACTTTGGATAGGGGGGTTTCTTTGCTCTTTGCTATATGTGTTCATTGCAGAACTGTTATCAGATGTATTAAGCTTGGAATATAGAGCTTAGGGCCCCCTTGACCCTCAAAATAACAAAATGATCAAAAGTTAGCTCAAAAAAATAAAAGTTAGCTCGAAACTGATCACATCTCCCAAATGAACAATATTTAAGGGAGCAGACAGATATACTTCTGGCCCTATATTGCCTCTTGCAGAGGATAGCAGAGTGGTAGCCTCCAGCTACAGACTCCTTCTTCCTCTCCTGGCAGGAATGAAAGACTCCCTTGAGAAGGTCAGTGGGAGAAGAAGCCATAGATGTCCGTTCTGCCTGACTTTGAGCCATACAATCTCTACGATAGCCCCCTCACCACACACCACCCTCTCTCTCTACACATGGAGCTCTTTCCTTATGTGAAAAAAAAAAGTAGTTCTTGGTGTAACTGAGTTCCAAACTCTCTGATTTGTTAACAGTATCTCTAAGACTTCGTAAAAATGTACAATTTATTTAACCAGTATTTTTATAAGAAAAAAGGAATTTCTACACTTTCTGCCTCCACTGTCTAATCAACTGCTCACTTCTCAGACACTTGACATCTGGCTTCTGACCCCACTACTCAACTGAAATTGCCCTCTCCAAGATTACCAATGATTGAAGTGGAAAACACACTAGATTTGGCATCATAGAACATGAATTTGAGCCCCAGATGTACCTCTCAACTCCTGTGTGACTTTGGGCAAACCATTTGATTTCCCTGAGCCTGTTTCCTCCCCATAAAACGAGGTAGTTGGACTAGATGACGTCTAAAGCCCCTTCTAGTAATAAATCTATAATCCTATAAACCAACAACTAAATCAATGGCTTTTTCTCAACTCTCATCCTTCCTGACCTTGCTGCAGCTTTCAACCCTACCCTTCATTCTCTTAAACTAGAGCCTCTTTCCATCCTTGCTTTCCTTTATTTTTGTTTTGCCTGGTTCTCCTCCTGTTATCTTCATGTATGATGGCTTCTGCTTAGTCTCCTTCATGGGATCATTATCCATTCCCTAGAGATGCATGTACCCTAAGACTTTGTTCTGGACACTTTTCTCTTCTCTCTATATTCTCTCCCTTGGTGACCTCATTTGCTCCCATGGTCTCATTATTATTCAGAAGGGCTTTATTATTATTATGCACAGTGGTTAACAGTTCCCTGTGAACAAATGTTTTCAAGGCTCTGCATATAAAGGAGTTTATGTTTACAAGAGACTAATTGTCACAAATGCCATAATAATTTAAATCAAGTCAACAATTGTGTATTAAAATTCTTCTATGTGTATCAATGGGTGCTGCGGTCTGTGAGGGATACTGAAGAAATATATGTAATAATACTGATAATAATAATAACTGGCATTTATGTAGCACTTTATGATTTGCTTTATATACATCATCTAATCTGGCCCTCATAACAACTTTGTAAGATAGGTACTCTATGCATTACTATCCCTGCTTTACAGATAAGGAACCTGAAGCTAAAGGAAGTTAAACGACTTGCCTATGGTCAAACATTCATTATCAGGAAGGCACAGAATTTAAATCCAAATCCAGGATCTTTCTACTACATTGTTATCTGTCGGCCAAGGGATTGAACTGGGCAGAGAAAAAAATACATGGATGAAACAAATGGAAAGCCATACAGTAGAACAATAATAAACTGCTAAATGTGTTTTGCAGAAAATAAATGATAAATATCAGTCTGGCCTTCAGTTTTCTAGGGGGGCTTCCTGGAAGAAGTGGGACTTGAGGTGGGCCTAGCAGGATTTGTTCTGTGAAGTTTGGATTCAGTCAAAGGGCCGCACCCAAGGACCTAGAGGGCCACGTGTGGCCTCAAAGCCACAGGTTCTCCACCCCGGAGCAGATTGGGTAGGATTTTGACAGGCAGAGGAGGAGGGAAAATTGGGACCAAAAGATAAATGTGCAGAGCCAAAGAGAGATTGCGATCAGGGGGTGCTGTAAACAGCAGAAATGTGTGTGTCCTGGCCAATAGTCAAAATCAAGTGCCACAACTGCTCTGTCTCCTCCCTTTTCCTTTGCCCTCCCTCTCATTCTCTTTTCTGTCTTAAGTCCATAGCAGAAGAGTTACTCCAAGGGTGGGCTGGTAAATACTAAATGTACATAGTTCATACTTTTAAATTTAATCTGTCTTATTAATATTTTCTTCATCACTTTCTTAAGCCTAGAAAACCAACAAAACAAGAAATCAAGCCCTGATTTATCATGTTTGCTTATTTCCAAGGTGAAAATGCTTACATTGAAAAGTTAATAATGAGCTTTCATGAAGCAGTGTGAGCTGGCTCCAGCAAACCCGTTTTTGGTCCCCCAAATCAGGATATGTGCCATGCAACTTACCTTCTTGTTAACATGGATTTCCCTTAGACTAGTTGGGTCTGTGGACTCATCATTACCTCAAGCATGAAAATGAAGGTTGTGCTGAAACTTGGAACATTCAGACTCCATTGACCATGATAAGTAGCGATGGAGATGCATATATAACATGTAATTTACTTTTCTGTGTCTGATCTATTTCCCGTGTTAAAACAGAAACTTTCTGAGAGAAGAGAAAATTTCACATAGTAGATGATGTGGGGATTATAACTGTCCAATCTGCAAGAAAAACCACTGAGGCAGAGCCCTGAGCCAATGGGTCCCCTCTAATGAAAGGGATCTGAGATCTTACTCACAATCTGAGATACCCGCTTCTTCCTGGGCCTTATTTTTATAAGGTTTGATACCTGAAGGCTCTAAAGGAGCTACTACATAAGATATAAATTCTGTTGGTGGATAGACCTTGCTTTGAGGGCCAAAAATGATATATCAGCCCAAAAAAATGGTATATCAGCAGGGGGGGTCTTGGGTTGGGTGAAGATGTGGCATCGCCACTGACTAAGCAGTCACAAGATGGTCACCTGCTCATGTTGGACAAGAGAGAGTGCTCTAGGAGCACAAAAATAAGTTGGGGGATTTTCCATGTAATTGAGTCATCTCTGCCACACTGCACTTGGTCACTATAACCAAGAAGAACAAGGGTGGAGAGCCTCTAGTTAGGTTCCTATGATTAAGCGAATGAACTTACAATCTGCAGTTCTCAGCTCAGGGACCTAATATACAGAATTTATAATCACTAGCCCCTATGGAATGATATCAAACTGATCAATACTGATTGGAATAGAGTAGGGATCTAAACGAATCATTTCTCACAGAACTCAATAAAAAGCTTTTTGACCTTAAAGGACTGGAATGGAGCTAGTTAATGGTGGCTGAGCTTATTTTGACATCTCCCATTTGGATATCAGTGAACACCTGCAGAAAGAAGAACATTACCTGGAATTGAGTGGGCAAAAAAGCACAGTGAGATATAGAGGGAAAGAATGAGAAATACCAAAGGGGAACTAAGGAGGCAGAAGGCCCCAAAGGGTTAACCAAGAGTCAAAGAGTACTTGGAACACCAGGCTTGGGGTATGCTTGCTGACTAATAGGGAACAGCAGGTACACTTTTCTCTTGGAAATGGATTTTTGCTAAACACCGCCCTATGGTCCCTTGGAAATAGAAAGAGAAGATTGTAGTTTCCAAGGAAGCAGATTAGAATGATCATAAGAGATGGAGCTGGGGTCAGTGACATGGCCAGCCTAGCTCTAAACATAGAGGGATAGAGTGGAGATGAGAGGGTGCTTTGTGTGCCACTGAGTAGGAGCAGTTAAACCAGGAATTCTTAAACTTTTTCCACTTTTGCCCCTTTTCAGATTAGGTTGGCTTTGCATGACCTGAGGGCATGATCAGTGCAAAGTGCACATACTTTGTGTTCAGAAACAAGGCTACAATGAAGTTAAGGCTGGCAAGCGCTGCCAGAAACATCTCAGATTCACTACTCATTTGGTTTTTAACTAATTTTTGGTCATTGCACATTCAGAAACCTTTTATTGTTGCCAAATTTTTTGCAGCCCCATGTGAGAGCATGACACACAGTTCAAGAAGCATGGAGTTAAACTAAGGGAGATGATACTGAAGAAGATCCTCAAGCCTGCAACCATTTAAAAGCTGCTTAGCAGCTTCCAAAGCTTCTCTTTTGAACAGCACCTATTCTACTGAACTGCAATGGAAGGGATAAAAGAAGATTTGGCAAAATCTATGCAAATAATCAATGGCTATACATCCACAATGTTTAAACACTTACTATGTACATAACACCTCAATAAGGTACTAAGGATATAAAGATTATATAAGACCTGGCTCCTAGCCTCATGGAGTTTGCAGTCTGATAGGCCAAGAGGAAACATATTAGGAACATGAAGCAACTGTGTTCTTTGTAGTCATTCTTGAGTCCAACTCTTCACGACCCCGTTAGAGGTTTGCTTGGCAAAAATACTGGAGTGGTTTCCTATTTCCTTCTCCAGCTCATTTTATAGATGAGGAAATTGAGGCAAACAGGGTTAAGTGACTTGCCCAGGGCCACAGGGCTAGTAAGTGTCTGAGGCCAGATTTGAACTCAAGAAGATGAGTCTGTCTGACTTCAAGCTTGGCACTCTATGTACTGTGCAACCTAACTGCCCCAACTGTGTTCTTTATTCTTTTTAATTTCTATTTCTTCCTAATTTATTCTTGGCTTTATTTCTGCTATCAAAATATATTGAAATTTAAAAAAAACCCAAGCTCTGGAAAACAAACACAGCATTTTATTTAATTAAAATACTATACATATTGTTTACATTTTCATGGAAAATAGTGAGTTTAAAAACACCCAAACAGTGTTCACTTTCAAAAACATTATGTGCCCTTCCCAGACACCAACTACCTCCTGCCTTGTTGCTAAGTGGACATTAACCATCTGTCCCTCAGGGTTGGGGACACCCTGAAAATGGGCCTGAAAGGACTTCCAGAACGATCCTTTTCCTTGTACTATGATGAGTCAGGATTTGCTCAGCTACCATAAGCTTTCACTTAAGTGGGAAGCCAGATAAAATGCCAGGATCCAATATTCAATGCCCTGGGTCCTATCATGCCAATGGAACTTTACCTTTCTGTTGGAATCCAGAGAGCTACTACTGTTTCATTTGGATTCAGAGTTAATTGGAACTAAAGGAGGTCATTACCTCCATTCCCTCCTGGCTCATTAGTGTCCTGAGCCAGGGTCCACCAGCCTTCCCAATTAGTTAGTGGGAGGCAAGACACTGTCACATAGTGTTTGAATGTAACTGATCAGCAGATACTCTAGCCCTTGCCTCGCCTGGCACATAATGCTATCAGACTTTATAAAGGATACATATTGGTACAATACAACTAAACAACTGAGGAATCACTTGCTTAAACAGAGCCACTTCATTCCATTTTTAAAAAATCATGTAACAAAACATTTGTAAAGAGAAAAAACAATAACATAATTATTAAACTTGAAAAGATAATTTTGTTCAGACATGCTTAGCTCATTTAAAACACAAGATTGAACAGGAGTCCTCTACCTCCCTCCTTAATTCATTGCCCAAACCTAGGTCCACCATTCTATATCATAAGATATTCATGTTTTGCTCCTGGATGGATCCTTTTTGTTCATATTTCCTCGAAATATCAGAAACATTATTTTCCCTGATACATCCTGCTCTTTGAGTTTTAACTCTCCAAATACATAGCTAGGGCTCTATACTCAACCATATTTTAATTAGAGGTTTGTTTGTTTTTTTCATCCTCCCACATTCAAGTCTACCCTCTACCCTCCCTCCTTCAAAAAAAGTTTTTAAAGCAGGTTACAATGAAAGTGAAGATCTCAGTGTCACTTGCAATTGGAAAACCATCTCTCTATGCACCACTCCATCTTCTCAGTTGATGGGAATAAAGTAGGGCTGAAATTGCTTCTCATGTTCCGGTTCTGTTGGGGGCATTTTCACATAGACTCCTGTAGTGAGAAGACTCCTTTTCTTTAGCTGAGAGAGAGAGAGAGAGAGAGAGAGAGAGAGAGAGAGAGAGAGAGAGAGAGAAAGAGAGAGAGAAAGAGAGAGGAGAAAATTGATTAGCATTGTACAACAAAGAACTTTCTTTGGCATGGTTAGGAAACATGGTGGACAGCTTTTAGAACAAGAATCTCTTTTCTTCTTGATTATATTTCTGGGACGGTTGGATAAGGAACCCCCTAGCATCTCTGTAAAATGGGAACCATCTTCCCTATCTAAGGGAAGATGTAAGATATAAGGGCAGGGTGTGTGGTAAGAAACTTTAAAGAAGTCAGAAAAAAAAAAGAGGCACTAAATCCTTCAGTCCTTCTCATTTCCAGCTCAATGACTATTGGCTGATTTGTGTCCACAACAGCACATAATGGGTCTGGGTCTACTGAATTAGAAAAGCAATCAAATATTGTTAGCCAGTTCTCAGAATTAATCCCTTCTGTAGGTGATTTTTCTCTTTTCCTATATTGATCTTTAATTTCTGTCCCCTCATTTTTAAAAAAAAGTTCATTCTGTTTTCCTGTGTGATAGCAGCATGCGGCAAGAAAGGTAGGCAAAACCCACTAATATATCTAACAACAAGCATTTATTAGGCATTTACTGTGTGGTCAGCATTGTGTTAAGCGAGGGGGTACAGAAGAAGGAAAAACAGGCTGTGCCCTTAAGGAGTTTCCATTTTAAGGGAGTGGTGACAATGTATACACGAATTAGTAGTTATCAGATAAATATGGAATAATTGAAAATTAGCCTTAGAGGGGATAGTACTAGTAGTTGAGAAGGTGGGGATGGAGAGGAAAGGCCTTCTGAAGGACATGTTGCTTGAGCTCAGTCTTAAAGAAAGTCAATACACGATTGTCAAAAATTAATGTGGGGGGAATTTGGAATACAGTGGCTATTCTTAACTTTTTTGTGTGTTGTGGATCCCTTTAGTGGTCTGATGAAGCCTATAGGCCCTTTCAGAGAATGGTTTTTTTTTAAAATACCAAATAAAATGCAAAATTTCAAACAAATGGTAATAAAAATAAAAATGCATTTTTTTCTAATTCAAGTTTATAGACCCCTCCAAAAAAATCTTTCTACAGAACTTTATAGACCCCAAATAAAGAATCTTTGGAAGAGATTGTACTTCATTCCTAATAAAGATAGTATTACAAACAGGTGTCAGATCTCACAAACCCACAGGGATGTCACAAAGACCTATTTTTAAGGGGGAAAGGATGACTGTTCCCTACATAAATCCACCCTCTGTCACCAACTCTAGTAAGTTTTTGAATGGGAAGAGAGTGGTGGATCACAGAAAGTAAGGGGCATGTGGTTCATAGGGGGAATGAACAGTTGGGCCTTTGCAGCATGATGAAGGACAAGGAAGATGGGATGGGGGGGGCAGACAGCCAAAAAAGTGGAGACATGTTCACCTGCCACAAAGCTTTAGCAGCTATGTGGTATAGTGGACAGAGTACTTGGCCCAGGCAGGAATACCTGAGCTCAAATCTAGCCTCAGACCATATTAACTGCATGACTGTGGACAAGTCACTTAACCTGTTTCCTTAACTGCAAAACAGATAACAATATCATTTACCTTTCAAGATTGTTGTGATGAAAAAAAAAATTAAAAATTAAAAATAAATTTTAAAAAGATTGTTGTGACGATCAAAAGAGAACATAATTGTAAATTATTTAGCACAATGCCTGGCAAAGAGAAGGGACTTAATAAATGCTTTTTCCCTTCTTTCTTCCTTCCCTTCCCCTGCCCTCAACTTTGCCTAAAACCAGCCCAATATTCAGGGACTAGTCACTAAAGTTCATTTTAAATGAAGGTGAGAAGTGAAGCAGCCAGGTGGCCTTCTTCCAGCTGTTAGTCAAAGTGAAACCCTTCAGAAGCACACAAACACTGTCTTGTTGAACACTCTGATCTAAAATGAGTCATCCCTGAACCCCCCAGTAGCTGCTTCTCGCTGTTCTTTTTGGTGTGCTATCACTGTCTTTCCACCTTCCTCTTTGACTCCTCAGCCTCAAAGACCTTCGATGCAATGCTGAGCAGCAGATCAGGCCTTTAGGCTGATGGAGATCTGACAATGGGAGAAGCCCAGGATGGGAAGGGACCACGGTAATACTCACCATTTTATTCAAGGAAACAGCTGTGATGAGGAAGCTGTAAAAAAATAACGCAGAGCTCACTATTGCCAGGATCCAGAGCATGACTTCAAAGTCTGGGCAAGGTTCAGGATCTGAAACAGAGGAGAGGAAATAGTCTCCATGTGGTTGGCATGGTGGAAAGGTCACTGGACTAGAAGTCATGAGACCTGGACTCTAGACCCTGTTCCACCATTCATTAGCTATGGGACTCAAAGCCAAATTGCTTCACTTTTCACCTGCAGTATGAGAGGATCAGACAAGATGATCTCTGAGTTCCCTTCCAGCCCCAAGGTGAAAAGCATTATGACTTAAGAAAGTTCTTTTTATATGGACTGAAGCCTACCTATCCATACCAAACCAGCTTTTTTCAGCTCTAAGGATAGTAGTCTAGGATAAGAAAGTTTTGGCAGAAAAAGTAAATAAATAAATATTTTTTAAAAAGAAAATATTGGCAGGTTCCTAGAAGGACTGACAAGCTTGAACAAAAAGAAAGAAAGTAGGACTTCTTAAATAGTGCCTCCTTTATTGGATAATATATGGAGACTCTGGAAGCTTGAGATAACTTCCCAAGTACGTCATACCCAAAATATAAGGCTTACCACTATCCCAGGTACCTTAGAGCTCTTCAGCCCCAATTACACTTGGAGGCATTACCTTAACTTTTGGACCCACTGGTAACATAACTGCCTTTACAAGACGACAAACAAGAGATCCAAATAACCTTCCAAACTCAACAATGAATAGCCTAACACACAGTAAGAAAGTGATTTTGTTGTTTCTAGATATTATGCAAAATAGAGTAGTTCTATAGAATGCATATCATTTTATTGCTCTTTTTATCCTTATTCCACAGGTGAAATAGCTTTGCTCACCAATGACATATATCTGTGTTCCATTGCCCAAACCCATGTAGTAGGGGGGAGGATACATGAGCTCCACTTTGCAGATGTACAGTCCACTGTCTGAGGCCTTCAGTCCTGTGAGAGTGAGCATCAATTTATTCCCGCTGGCATTTCCTGTGCACTCAAGCATGTCATCCATGAACACTGGTTGATTCTGTACCAGATATGTTGAGGCACAGACTTCAACCATCTGGTTGTCCATCTGTCGAAGAAGTCCCACTCGGATCTCTTTGGTTTTTTCTGTCAACTCATATTTACACACAAAGCTGGCAATCCCTCTGCTGTTGGCCAGGACCACTGCTGGTTGAGTCACACGTACCGCTAGCATTAAGGAAATTTAAAAAATATATATATTTCATGAGTTAGCAACTAATCAGGGAAGAATCTATGCAAAATTGTGTAGTGTTTCAGACCTTCTGTCCCAATCTAGATATTCCACCTCACTAACCTAGCCTAGCCTATAGCCTATAGAGGTGCCTCTAGGACCTTACTGTCCACTGCTTCTTACTAAGGTGCTAAATTGTTAGCTGGTAATAGGTACTTGCACAGTAGCTGAACTACTGGAGACAAATCATGGGATTCAGAAGACTTAGATGTGAGTCCAAGTTCCAGAGCCATGACTACGGAATTTTTTTCACCTGGAACACAAAGAGTTGAACAGGAGAGGAAGGATCATTTCAGAGAAGACCATCATCTAAGGAGAAGGAGATGTTTGGTGACTTGGTGAAGGAGTTGCCATGGAAATGGACCCCTTGGAGGTAATGGCCCTGGGAAACTTTTGCTTTGTAAGATGCTTCATACACATACACACAATACTCCATCTCCATTGGATTCAATTATTTTTATGCTTTGTTGTCCTACATGCTTGGAAAACCCTCTCTTCTTATTTCCACCTCTTAGAATCCAGGGTTTTCTTCAAAGCTCAACTCAAAAGCCATCTTTGGCATGGCCATCTTTCCCGATCTTCCTATTTACCAGTGCCTCTTCCTTCAAACTTTTATATATGTTTATATACATATAATGTATATGAGTATATGTGAGCATGTGTATGTATATATATACTATCTGTATCATATATATGCATATATACATATATGTACTTATATATTTATATGTTGAATCTCCTGATAGAATATTAGCTCCTTATGGACAGGGACTATGATTTTTCTGTCTTTGTATCCCCCAGGGCCTAGCAAAGTGCCTGACACAAAGCAGGTGCTTAATAAATGCTTATTAACTGACTGACTGACTAATTGGTAAAATAGGCAAGCAGAGGAGTACAAGGTAAGGATGGGAATAATAGTCATTATGGAAATGAAATATGTCCTTGTAGGGAAAAAGTTCACTATTCTCCCATGTCAGCTCCCTGAGACATAACAACATTTACCTATACTAGTCACTACCCTCTCTAGCTCTAATACAAACAATTATGACTGTGCACAGATCATTTCATATGGCCTCAGTTTCTTTAATTGCAAAATGGAAAGAACAGTTATTATAACTCCCACTTCACAGAGTTGTGAACAAAAAGCGTTATAAACTTTAAAGTGCCAAGGAGAAGCAAATGATTTCGGTCCCCAGTTCCATTTTACTAGAACTCTTAGGGCCTATAATTCCTCCAAGGAATCAAAGAATAAATCTCCATTAATGGAATTTCAAACACTTTAATGTACAACTAAGAAGATGTTTTGGGGGTAAGTGACTTGAATTACTCAGATCCACCATGCATGCACTGACATGTCTGACCTCATGATTGAATTCAATTCATTAAACATTTATTGCAGACCTACATGTGGAAATTACTGAGCTTGGCCTTCAGGGGCTACAAAGACAAATGGAAAAGATACCTGCCCTCAAAGATCTTACATGCTAATAAAGGATATAGAACATGTATCTGAGTGTTAAACAGGATGCAAGTACAAAGAGAGATATATGTAAAGTGCTACGGAAGCATAGAAAACAGAGTGTTTATGTATGGCTAAGGGGGTATGGAATCAGGATTCTAGGTCTAATAGATCCTAAATCTACTCTGATGTTGTGCTTCTAGAAGCCTGGCATTCTTGCAAAAGACAATGGGTAGTTAGTGATTTCTCTTCTGAAGGACCATGGGAACAGATTTGCCAATGGGAAACCTTGCTTGCTTTTTTTTTCCAATTTTATTAATTTATTGATTTATCAACAATCACTTCCCAAATTCTTTTGAGTTGAAAATTTTTCTCCCCCTTCCTCACCCCCACCCTCCCCAAGACAGCGCACAATCTGATATAGGTTTTACATTTACATTCCTATTAAACATATTTTCACATTAGTGAAATTGTAAGTAAAAAATTAAAACCAATAGGAGGAACCATCAGAAAGATGAAACAAAACTCAACAGGAGGTAAAAAATAAGTGATAGCAATTCGACTTCCATAGTTCTTTCTTTGGATGTGGACAGCATTTTCCATCCCGAGGCCTCTGGAGATGTCTTAGATCCTCATAATGCTGAGAAGGGTTCAGTTTAACAATATTAGTCATCTCATAACATGGCTGTTATTGTGTACAAAGTCCTCTTGGTTCTGCTCACTATACTCAGCATCAGACCATATAGGTCTTTTCAGGAAACCTTGCTTTCTTCAAAACAATGGAAGTACCTGTACTACTTACTGTAACCAATAATTCATTAATATTTTACCTCTTTCTCAGACCATTCCAAACAATCAGGCCTCTCACAGCTGTTAATGATACCACTTTGTATACCTCCATTATCTTGTCTGTTTTATATACTTCCATTAAACTTGCCTAAGACCCTTGTTTTATTTTTCCCTTCAAAGAGTACAAAATTGTTCAGTTAATGAATTGGAAATTGAGGGTGCACCCATCAATTAGGAAATGGCTGAGCAAGTTGTGGAAGTTATAGTATATGGTTGTGATGGAATACTATTACATAAGGTATGAGGAGCAGGATGATTTCAGGAAAAACCTGACAAGACATATATGAACTGATGCAAAGTGAACAGAGCAGAACCAGGAGAACATTATACATAGTAACAGCAATATTGTAAGGGTGATCAACTGTGACAGACTCGGCTACCCTGATCAAGGCAACGATCCAAGAAAATTCGAAAGACTCATGAGGAAAAATGCTGGCCACCTCCAGCAAGAGAACTAATGAACTCTGAATGCAGATTGAAGCATACTTCTTTTTGCTTTCTTTATTTTTATTGTTTTATTTTGTTTGCTCTTTCTTTTGTAACATGGCTATTATGGAAATCTAAAAAATATTTTTTATTAAAAAAAAGTGTTGCCTCATGCAGTTGATTGAGAAACTTCTCCATAATATTCCTCTCTCTGCTGAATAGCTCTTTCCCTTATGGCCATAAGTCATAAAGCTATACCTTGCTTAAACTAGAAGTTGCTGGGGGCTAATTTTTTTGACAAGGGATAGCAGAAGACCTCACAGGAGTGGGCTACACTTTCAGCTAGAAAGTTGAGTATACTTTCAACAAGTAGATCAAAACTCCAGAAATACATGACATGGCCTGTCTGGAGAATGGTAAATAGTCCAGGTTTATAATGGTGAATTATAAGAGTTAACACTGGAAAAGACCAGATCACTGAGAAGCTTGAAAGTTAGAAAAAAGAGTTTTCATTTATTTATTCATTTATTTGTTTGGCATTTATTAAGTACACTGTGTCAGGCCTCTTGGAGATAGAAAATTTAGGTAAGATATACTCTGATATCAGAGATCTTTCAAACTATTAGTGAGTGATAAAACACAGATCATTCTAGTATATATTACATCAGAGAATTGCAAAACAAAGACGTAAGTGTGATTTGACAAGAAAGGCCATTTTTGACTTGAGAGGAGAAAGGGAATTCCTCAGAATCTGGAATGGTCTTATCAAGGAAATGGCATTTAAGCATAACTTTAAATGAGGAGTAATCATACAACAGACAAAGTGGGAAAAGGAAGGTATTTGAGGCATAAAATACAGCATGAACAAGGGAATCAAGGAAGAAGGATACAAGATATGTTAGAGAAATAGATCATACACCAGTTTTGCTGCAGCATAGAGTACTTGGAGGTTGAAAAGGTAAGGTGGTGCCAGTTTGTTAAAGGTCTTGAATACCAAGCAAAGGAATCTGAAATTTACTCAGCAGACAATAGGGAATAACTTTTATTTTTCAGCAGAAAAATAATATGATCCAATTTTAGATCAAAAGATTTTTTTTTCTGATTGGAAAGCCTGTTAAGAGAATATTACAATAATCTAAAACGGTAGCAAATAAAAAAGAGCTGCTATTACTTAGGATTGGTGCAATGAGAATAGAATTATAAATGTATTGCTGGAGGAGACTTTGGAATAACCTATTCTAATTTTTTCATTTTAAAGATGAAACTGAGGCTCAGAGAGGTTAAGTGACTTATCTTTAATGACAGGAAGAAAGGGTTGGATGCAAGAAACATTGCAGAGATGGAACTGAAAGGATCTGTGATTTATTGGATTGAGGGATTTAGACACTACAAAAATTTGACTTACATCGATATAACCCTTTAAGTCTTTTAAAGAGCTCTCCTGTGTAAGAGACATTTGTTGTTCAGTTGTTTCAGTTGTGTCCAACTCTTTATGACCCCATTTTGGGGTTTTCTTGGCAAAGATAATGGAGTGGTTTGCATTTCCTTGTCCAGGTCATTTTACAGATGAAGAAACTGAGGCAAACAGGGTTACATGACTTGCCCAAGCTAGTCAGCGTCTGAGGCTGGATTTTAGCTCAGGACAAATCTTCCTGACTCCAGGACCAGAACTCTATCCACTATACCACCTTGTTGCTCATGGGAGAAATTAATCATATTACAATCCTCGCTTTATTGAAGAGGAAGTTGAAGCTCAGAAAATCTAAAGCACTAATCTATGATCACACTGCTAGTATGTCCAATCTGATATTCAAATCATTACACCTCCTCCTCACCTAAAGTTCAGCTCTTTCCACTATTTTACATTTTCTCTCACTACAATATATTGCCTCTCTGATAATTAGTAAATGTAGAGAAACCTTTGTGAAGTCAATAGAGAGTTGGACCCAGATCAAATCCTGCTTTTGACCCTTACTAATTACATGACACTGAGCAAATCACTCTCACTGGACCTCAGTTTCCTCATGCATAAAATTCAGGGACGAGATTCAATAACCCCCTAGGTCCCTCCCTGATCTAAAGCTTTAGATAGATAGATAGATAGATAGATAGATAGATAGATAGATAGATAGATGATTGATAGATGGATAGACAGATAGATAGATGATTGGTAGATAGATCTATGATAGATCAGATGATAGATGATAGATCAGAAAAAAAAACAATTTTGAGTGATGAAGAAAGCTTTGTTATTTGAGTTTGAGGCAGAAATCGAGTTTGGGGTGGAAATAGCTAGCAGTTGGTTGGAATCTTGAACAGTATTTCAGAAGAGAGGTTAGGGCTGCAGATACAGGTTTGAGACTCATGGTGTGCTTTGGCCAGGCCCTGCTGCAAACCTCCACCTACCCTCCAAGACATGATGACCATATGTCAGTAAGAACCCAGAGGTCCCCACATAGTAAGAAAAAATTCTTAAATTCTAGAATTAAATTCTGGTTAAAACTAGGTGCTGGGGTGTGGGGGACAATAGTAAAGAGGTTGTAAAAAAATGAAGGGCTGATGTAGCATCTACCATTTGAGGATAAAAGCACTCATGAGGAGAAGGATCATTGTTCCTCTGACCTGGAGAGACCCTCACCTTGAACTGAATGCTGTGACCAGAACCTGAGCTGAGCCTCAATTTGGAAGAACAGAGAGAGACACCAGGAGCCTATCTGCTAACAGTAACTGCTATTATGTGCCTCAGGTAGCTTTGCTTTATGTTTGATGAGTTCATCCTTACCAGCTAAGTAATCTTCCCTACCCCTCTTTTGAAAACGTGTATTCCTTGTTTGTAGCTCAGTCATTTTGTGATCTCAATACCTTATGTTAGGACAGCTTCTTAAGTTTCCTAGTAAGATTCATCTTCATAAAAGTAGTTATGAATGCCATGGGAATGAATGAGATCACCAATAGAAAGAGAAGAGGGTAATAGACAGACCCTTAGAAAAATCCCACATTACGCATACCCTTTGACCCAGCAATGGAACTTCTAGGGCTGTATCCCAAAGAGATCATCAAAACAGGAAAAGGACCCACATGTACAAAAATATTTATAGCAGATCTTTTTGTGATGGCAAAGAATTGGAAATTGAGGGGATGCCCATCAATTGGGGAATGGCTGAACAAGTTTTGGTATATGAATTGATGGAATACTATTGTGCTATAAGAAATGATGAGCAGGCAGACTTCAGAAAAACCTGGAAAGACTTGTATGGACTGATATTGAGTGAAGTGAGCAGAACCAAGACAACATTGTACACAGTAACAGCCATGTTGTGAGATGACTAACTTTGATAGACTTTAACCCTTCTCAGCAATTCAAAGATCTAAGACATCTCCAAAAGTCTCAAGATGGAAAATGCTATCCACATCCAGAGAAAGAACTATGAGTTTGAATGCAGATCAAGGCATACTATTTGCTCTTTTTATCTCTTCTGTTTTGTTTTGTTTCCTCTTTCTTGTGGTTCCTCCTATTGGTTCCAATTCTTCCTTACAACATGACTAATGTGCAAATATGTTTAATAGGAATGTATATGTAGACCCTATATCAGATTGCACACCATCTTGGGGAGGGAAGGGGGAGAGGGAGGGGAGAAAAATTTTAAACTCAAAAGCATATGGAAGTGATTGTTGAAAACTAAAAATAAATAAAAAATAAAATAAAATAAAGAAAAAACACATTAAGAGGCATGAAAGAAGAAAGGGAGACAGCAAAATAAACAAAGGACAGAAGCTATAGGGGCAGGATAACCAAGAGAATATACTATCTCCAGAGGCAAGAGAGAAAACCAGTCCAATAGAAAGAAATGGTCAACCTCATCTAAAGCAGCAGAAAGGTTGATTAGGATGAGATCAAGCAGGAGACCACTGAATTTTGTTGTTAGGTAGTCCTGTTTGTTCTTGGGAGGGTGGTTTCTCTAAAGTGGTAGGGATTGAAACAGGCTGCAGAAGGTTACAGGGACAGTAGGACGATGAATAAGTGGAATCAATGGGTATAGACAACTTTTCCCAAGAAATTTAGGAGTGAATGATGAAGTTAGAGGATGTGGTCATTGGATGAGCCAGAAGAGTCAAAGGGAAAGCACATTTAGGATTAGGGAAGTCTAGGGTTGGACTTTAATGTGTAAGCTACAGGGACACTGAAGTTTTGGGTCATAGGAACAACATGACCATTTCCACTCAGCCCTGCAACAATAGCTAAAGAGTGACTCTCCTCTCTACCCACTGCATTTGCCTGGGAGGGTTTCCTTATCATTGCAAGGGAAGCTTTTATATGAAGAAAGCCACAGAGTAAAGAGTGCCAGGTCGTTTCCTCTGTAGAGTGAAGCAACCTTGCTGCCAGGCTTTTGGGGGCTTCCCCCATTGCCTGATCTATGGGCTAACCCATCACCACTGTTACCGCCACCACCATTAATATTCTGTACAACACAAATATTTCCCTTATGAGTCCCTCCATGCCTCAATTCTCCTTTTCCCTGGGTTGTACATAACAGATACACAAGACTTACATTAAAAAAGGATCACACATTCCCTATTATCTAAAAAATAAAAGGTTGCAACTTGCGCCTCTTAGCCTGGGCTATGCCTGGATATTCTTGAGTCTCTTGTCCACTCTACTTCTTAGAGTGGACAAAACTTCCCTTCTCCTCCACCACAGGGAGAGTTTCCCCCCTGAATAACATTTAATTTAATTATATCCAGCCTCTGAGCCTTTGTAAAAGCCTATGCTTTTTTGTACCCTATGATGGAAATCAGAATCTGTGGCTCTTTAAGGAAACTTAGCCATATTTAATATAACTCAAAATCTCAGCTCATACCCCACAGACTCAAGAAATGTGTAGTAATTTCTCCTGTCAAATTAACAAATATTTTGGATTGCCCATTCTGACAAATTACATGTCAAGTTTCTATGAATAATCTTTATCATTCTGTTATGTACACTGCACCTGGGCACATAGTAGGTACTTAATTAGTGCTTGTTGATTGGTTGATCTTAGCTGAACTATCAGATATAATAAACATTGAGTATGATATTTCCTGGAAACACTCAACTTTTAAAAATGGAAAATGACCTGTTACATGTCACAATAGTCCCTGGTTTTGCCTACATGAAATAGAGGAATTTGCTAAAGTGAATAATAAATATCTGAACTCAATGTGAAAATCAAATAGCAATGAAATCCCTTATACCATCAGTTAATTTAACCATTTTTGTTTGCTAAGTTTAGCTCAAGACTTGAAATTGCTTTCATGATTGTTACTTCATAAATTTCCTAATAAGTATTTTAATTTGATTAAAAGACACGGTAACATTGGCCTGGGATGGAAGTATCCCACAATTTAAGTGGATATTTTGGCCAGAAAATGTTTAATCCACCCCTATTGAATTCCGGCATTGTCAAATAATGACCAAGCTCATAGGTATTTAGAGCACTATACTTGGCTATTTACAGATAATGGCAATAAGATTGGATGGTGAAAAGATTATTGGCTTGCACCTTAGAGGACCAAGGTTCAAATACAACTTCCTGAGTAATATTGGATAAGTCATTTAACCTCCTCGGGCCTTAGTTCTTCATCTGTTAAATGCAGGGGTTGGCTACATGACCACTGAGGTCTTTTTCTAGATCTAGAGCTATGATTCAATGAATAAAGGATATCCATTCCCCACTAGAAAATCCTTATCTTTCAAAAAAAAAAAGAATAAAAGTACTAGAGTTAAAAAAAAATACATTCTTCCAACATGAACATAGAAACATGTGAAACTAACCATTGATCTCAAGCTACTACTCATCCTGGTCAGGAATTCTCTCTCGCAGATGAATAAACCAGAAAGCTATTATAGCTCACATATGATGTATTCAGGATTGAGCTAGGCATTTGATACACAGAGCTCCATCTATTCTCTGCTGACTTCTTTCAGCTGCCTGGCCTGGAATAGAAAATATCTCAGAGCAGCCAAAAAGGCACAAGTTTTGTTTTTAGCTTCTGGCCCTACTGTTGAAACCATGCCCTAGAATGGAAACGGTGGAGATCTGTATTCTAATAAGTCTTTTAAGGCACTCACCTTCGGAGATACTTGGGATAAAGAGCAGAGAGAGCATCGCTGTGCAGGGCCAGTTCTTGGGATAGTGAAGCTTTCCCATTTGTCTCCTGGATCCCAGGAGAACCATAACTTAATTGTTACCTGACTCGGAAAGTCAGGAAGGAGAATGAAACTTGTTGGGATACCGAAGCTTTGAAATGTGTTTGAACCCACACAGAGCCTGGGAGTTTATATAGGTAGCTTTGATCCCATGCATGTACTATACATGTGCACACCCGGGAGGCACCTGAAAGGATAACTTTTTGTTTTGGTTTTACGAGAAAGGAAGTAGTGGGCTCGGTTGCTACGTAGACTGTAACCTCAAAGTCCTCAAAATAGAAGTGAACAAAACAAGCCAATCCATGGATGGAAAATGCACTCACTTTGAAACTGACGCTTTTTGTTCACTTTGAGGATCTGAAGAATGGGGGGGGGGGAGGCTTGGAGAATTTCCTGGAGTGCACCTAAATCCCAGATTCAATCCAGGCATCCAAAAAACTTTCTTCTTACCTATGAAATCTCCTAAGCAGCCAAACTTCAGGCTAAACATCCCTTCAATTTGGTTGTGTAATTAATGGGAAGGAAGGGGAAATTATTGATATAAACTCTGCATGTTGTTTGCATTCCAATAACATCTTCTTTCTAAGGGCTTCCTGATCCCTTACAAAGAAGCATCGGTCACTCCAGTAAGCAGACTTCCTAATGTGATGTTTCTGTACTACGGATTGTGGATACTGAGGCTAACTAGAGACGTAGTTGACTTATCTCTGCTAGTGCTAAGATACAGTAGTGAATCCAGATGTTCTTAGAATCAGAAGCTAATCCAGATGTTCCTAAAATATATATCTTAAGAAAGACAGAATAAAACTGGGGAAAATGCAGGAAAAGGCAACTGAAATGACCCAGGGGATAGTAGGTCCACCACATTAAAAAAAATAAAACTAAACCCTCCTTTGGGCTAAAAAGTGTTGTATTCTTCAGACTGAAAACAGATTCTAGGGGCCAAAAAAGGTAGTGGTTATAACTGAAATTCACACCACTATGAAAGATATTACTATATGAGTAGGATGAATATCAGGTTGCTTACGAAATCCCAGAATATAAGAACTAAGGGACACTGCTTCAACTTGCAAAGATATCATTTGGGGCAAAAAAGCATTAATATTCCTAATTAATTTTGTGGATTTATTAAAGAAGAAATGGAACAGGCTGAAAACACAAATAGGTTCAGAAAGGGTTTGGGAATTAAAGAGTGATAGACCCATAACAGAGTAATAAACAAGAAGAATGGAAAGAAGGAAGGAAGGAAGGAAGGAAGGAAGGAAGGAAGGAAGGAAGGAAGGAAGGAAGGAAGGAAGGAAGGAAAGAAGGAAGGAAAGAAGGAAGGAAAGAAGGAAGGAAGGAAGGAAGGGAAGGGTGTGTGTTGTGTGTGTGTGTGTGTGTGTGTGTGTGTGTGTGTGTGTGTGTGTGTAATTGTCAAGTCAGCTACCGTAGTATGAGAGATTTAGAGCTAGAAGGGTCATCTAGTCCAATCCCTTCTTTTTTATAGATGAGATACTAAGGTTCATAGACAGTAAGTCATTTTCCCACCATCACAGAGGTAATAAGCAACAGAACTGGGATTTGAACCCATCTGATTCAAAATTCAACAATCTTTCTGCAGTACCAAGCTGCCTTTATATGAGTTTTTCACATTTGGTTGATAGATACATCTCTTGGTGAAAGGTTTCTTTGTATGCTCTTAAACTAACATGATCTACCAACAAAACTATTTGTTCATCACAAATGATGAAGCCCTGTCAACCAAGAGTATAATTACGGAGCAAATCTCTTTATCCCAAAAACTATGTATGCAATATGTTTTATTTTATAATATTTATACCTTATAATTATAATATATAACAATATTTTATATTATTTCATCCTAGCAAGATGAAAAGAAGGGATAGTACCCAAGCATAGGATAGTACAGGGTCAGTATGCAACATTGAAAAATTGAACTTAAAAAGAAAGCTTTAAAATAAAAGTGATAGAAGCATTAAACAGAGAGTAGTAATGTATTTTTTTTTCTTTAAATAGAGCCTTTTCTTGATTGATGTAGTGGAAACAGTCCTGAATTACAGGACCTGGAACTCTGCAACTAATTGTAAAGCTTTGAGCGAAGTACTTAACCTCTCTCTCAGCCTTAGTTTTCTCATCTGTAAAATAAGAAAGTTGAACTAAGTAAGGTTCTTTCCAGCTCTACATCTTCCAGGTTCTAAATGCTGTGCCCCCATGATTGAAGAGAGACTAAGATAACTCTGATTAATGACATCCAGAGTTAATATTAAACTCTCACTTTAGTAAAAATCATTCAATTCATTTTCTCACCAAACATTTTTTCAGACCTGCCTAACTAGCAGAAAAAGAGTTCATTTTGAACTTTTTCTCCTTTCATTTTCCCTGAATTTTATTCCCATCTTTGGCTAGTAAATGTTAAAGTGATTCAAAGACAAGGAGGCAGAATAGGACATTTGTCCCTAAATAATCAGGACTTAACTCTGGATTTCAGACTTTGGTCAACTGCCCTAAACTTAGGAAGACTCATCTTCCTGAGTTCAAATCTGGCCTCATTCATTAACTGTGGGACCCTGAGCAAGTCACGTAATCCCATTTGCCTCAGTTTCCTCATCTGTAAAATGAGTTAGAGAAGGAAATGGCAAACTGCTCCAGTATCTTTGCCAAGAAAACCCCAAATGGGGTTGCAGAGAGTAGGACATGACTGAAACAACTGAACAACAAAAGCCCCTCCTTAATCAAAATCTAGGCTGTGAGTAATATCCTAGAATGGGAGTTGAGTTCTGCTACCAACCCACATACAAAATTTCTGGAGGACAAGTTCTTATTCAAGTGTGATGCAGTGGAAAGGGCTGTGGCCCTGCCAACCAGAAGGGTTTAAATCCCAGCTCTGATATTTTCTGCCTGGGTGATCTTTGGCAAGTATCTCTGTGCCTTAGTTTTTTATTTTTGTTTGTTTGTTTTTTAGGCAATTGGGGTTAAGTGATTTGCCCAGGGTCACACAGCCAGTAAGTGTCAAGTGTTTGGTGTGAGGCCAGATTTGAACTCAGGTCCTCCTGACTTCAGAATCGGTACTGTATCCACTGTGCCACTTAACTGCCCCAATGCCTTAGTTTTCACATGTAAAATAAGATCATTAGATCAAAATAACCTCTAAGGTCCCTTCTAGCTTTACATTTGTTTCTTAGACTATTCTGTGCCTCCATCAATTTCTAGAAGTAGAATAAAAACTATTGGCTGCTTGATTTGGACAGAAAACTCATGATCTCTTCAAATGAAAAGTGAATTAAGCACAGTAAATTCTCAGTTACTCAGGGGCCAAAAATCTAAGTATGAAAGTGGTTCATGCCATCATTTTTGCATCTCCCCCCTTTCCCTACAATATCCTTTGCACATATATAGGTTCCTTAATGATTTCATCAAAGAGAAGTTAAAGATGGGAGAATTCAATTTTGCCACTTATCTGAAACTCTCAAAAAGGGAAGGTTGGGAGAGTGCACAGAGAAGGAAGCTGAAATAATGTGCTATAAGGATTTGGGATTCATGGTGACTTCATTCACCCATGCCCTCCTGCTGAGATGGATAAGCCCAAATTGGCTGGCTTCTTTCAGTTGCTACTGGACTTTTAAGTTTATCGAGATTTACCTGCTTTGCAATGGTCCTGGAGTTCAAAAGCCACTAACCCACTTCTCTTAGCTATGTTACTTTTTTCTTTTTGTTCTCAGAAATTGAGGTGCTGTGGCTACAATGGGGGAGGAAGGCTGTTTCTGGCCTAATTATCAAACTTGTTTTACTTTGTAAAGGTCATTCCACACCCCGTGCCTAGTTCTACACGTTCAAGCTTTTGAACAATGCTCTTCCATTTTCTAAACGTCCTCTTCTCATCTTTCACATTAAGGGCATGCCAAAAAACCCAACTTGCATTGAAAGATTTGCCCCTGAGTCTTGACTGTAGCATCTACTGCAAAACATCCTTTGCTTGATGGTTTCAGATGTAATGGGAAGAATGAAAAGTTTAATATTTGCATAGTGTCTAGTTTCAGGATATCCCATTACGTTTCACCTGTAATTATGCCTAATTAAGGTTACATATTCTGTTTTCATGCTAATTAGCTCATCACATAGCTGCCCCCTTTCAATGTTTGCTTCAAAAGGAAAAAAGAAATCATCTAAAAAACTAAGTGATTGCTGGAAGAAGAGCTTGTCAGTCATCAAGCTTCAAAAAAGATGTAAAAAGAAAAGTTAAAGGTATGCAAAAGGACTGGAGGGAAAAAGATGGACTCATTACTTTTTAAAAACTAATATGAGGTTCCTGTGACAGACCCCAACAGAATGAATTTGCTGGATTGATTTTAGCCCTAGGAGACAGTAATTCACGCCATAAAACCACTTAGATATGGAAGTTTCTGATGTATAAGGAAAAAATTAAAAATGAGATTTCTGCTGAATTTTGAGTTTGCATTGTTCACTTGCTTCAAGTTAAATTGAATAAGGTCATCATTGAAACAAATGCCTTCTTATGATCATGGGCAAGCCATTCATCATTCTGGGCCTCAGTTTCCTCAACTATAGAGTAAGAGATTGGAAAAAGATGATGTCTGAAGTCCTATTACCTATGTAGGAAACTCATCCAAGTCATTTAAACTCTCTAGGTGCCAATTTCTTCCTCTGTAAAATGAGTAGAGGCAGCACAAAGAGCATTGGCTTTAGAATCAAAGGACCTGGGTTCAAATCCTACCTCTGATGCTTTCTACCTGTGTGACTTTGGGAAAATAATTTAACCTTATTAAGCCTTATTTTCCTCATCTATAAAATAAGGAGATTGGACTAGATGACTCTTCCAGTTCTGAGTTACCTATGAATCCATGATACTTTCAATTCTAATGTTTTGGAACATTATGGTGGTCTTACTGGTGAAATCAGAGATTTACATATAAAAGAATGGGCCCCATGAAGACAATTTGGAGAATTCATCTCTGATTGGCTCACCCTTGTTTAAGTCATAAGATTTCCCCTTTACATTTTCAATATTACAGACAATGATTTCACACGATATTTCTGAATTTAGTGCCATTTGCTCCATTCTATCAACAGTCTTCATTCCTTATGAATAAAAGAAAAGCAAGAGATAAGTGGATGTTCACCCTTAACTTTCTAGCTCTGGATGCAGCTAAACAA